GCATGTAGCCAGTTTATTAGTTGCGTATCTTGTGAGAATATTGAATATTGGCCGAGTTCACCAGATACAAACGTTGGTAAACGGTTTGCGATTGTTCTGCTGAACGCTACGTTGAATTTGTGTTAAAATCAAACATGTTGTGCAATCGGTCGCCATATTCTCATAAGATGCACAACTAATAAACTGGCAACATGTCTAGAAGACAGTGGTGAAAAACTAACCTACTTGAACAGATGTGTTCTTGCATTATTGGATCTTCATGCACCATTGTGTGCTGTTAATCTGAAGAAAGACCTGGCCCCGTGGATGACACACAATCTAAAGCAGATGATACGGCTACGCAATCAAGCATACAAAACATACATGCGAACCAAGACTGTCGCATGTCATTTAGCTACGTTCACCAGAATCAAAACGGATTGTAAACAGTTAACAAATATCAACAGAATATGTCGGGTAAACTCTTGGTTCTGCTGAACGATTCAACTTTTCAATGATAGAACGTCACCTTCTGAATGACAGGTCACCACACCAAACACAGTTGAAAATTATAAACACTCTGAAATTATGCTTGCAAAAATGGCGACCGTTTGCAAAACATGTTTGGTTTTAACACAAATTCAACGTAGCGTTCAGCAGAACAATCGCAAACAGTTTACCAACGTTTGTATCTGGTGAACGCGGCCAATATGTTTATAGTTTCTCATGTATCTAGTTTGGCTTTCATAAAAATTGTTCTTGACCAGGATATTCACAAATAGCTTCATCGTCAGATAGGTTAACATCAATGAATCCGTCGTCGATTGCCATTTCAGACGTGACACAAATTATTATATTTAGCAAGCTGCCTGTGTCATGTGTTATACGAGTGGGATTTTCTACTATTTGGCCTAAACTGTAAGCATTCATTAATAAACTTTGGTCTTTTGTGTTTTGATTGGTTTCAAACATCAGTTTTATGTTCAGATCACCTAATACAATGACATCATAGTTGTATTTTATCGTAACAGCTCTTAAACTGTTTTCAAGGTTATTCAGTGGAAAATGTCTATAGGATCTATAGTATATACTACACCAGTTGCATATGCATATCTGCCCCGTTCAAATTGCAGTCAGAGCTGTTCCAGACTGTCAGTTCCTTTCCAGCGAAAAACAGTACTCCACCCCCTTCACTTAACGTTCTATTTTGCCTGATATATAATAGTTTGGGATTTTAATATTACTGAAGTCAATCTGTAGCTGTAACCAGGTTCCACTAGCAGCACAAAAGTCATATTGTCCACTAAGAATAATTGTTTTGAAAGATGTAAACTTGTTGTGTATGGATCTTACGTTCAGATGTCCTACCTTTAAAAGCTTGTGATGATCCAGAAATTTGACCCGATAATTACAAAGTCTTTACTGTAAAAATTAAATTTTATCAAATAATCAAAATTTAATTCCGGTATTTTTAAATCTGTATCGATAAATTAAAAATAAAACAAATTAACGCTAAGTATTGCAACACCGGCCAAGTCATCATCTAACTTAAATTCTTAAAAATGATAAAAACGAGGACAGTGACATCACTAAAACCCGATCAATGAACTTTTTTCTTAGCAAGGCCAGCATGTTAATTAATTTGATGATATATGGCATTCTTGAACCAAAAACGTTTTGACCTCAATAAATCAGATTATTGCGACATAATTAATTGATTTCAGGCTAAAAACGATATAAAATTCCAAGGAAATTGCATCATCTTGATTGTCATGGACAAAGAGATTGGGAGCATCGAATTATATAAATAGCGCGTTATTTAGAAGGAGAGGACAGTTGCCAGTTAAGAGTTGTCCAGTCCAGTTGAGTTAAAGTCTGTCCAGTTTCGCGAAAAGTTACTTTTATGGCGTTTGGCCTCGGGTATAATTTAACTTAGAAAATTTACGGAAAATCGTGAAAGTAATAACATTTGAAATTCATTCAATAATTTATGTGCGTGCTAGCTAAATATTTTGAGTAATTAATTAAGTAATTTTACGTGTGTTTTATGGACAAAATGTAAGTACTCTATAGTGACAAGATTTATTTTTGATGAACATGACTTTGTGTGAATTTTACTAGAAAACTTTTGATTTTAATCACGGTGGAACTTTATTACAATAAAATTAATAACTTGAGTGTTTTATAAAGGATACATTATCGCATAACTTTAATTACCTTCAGATATAATGACATTTTAATTTAAATGTGCGAAGAAAATATGAAGAGTACTTATAATGCATTTAACAATATACAATTTTGAGTTGGAATTATGAATTGAACAGTTGAATTTATTAGCTAGGCATAGGAATCCGAAAATAGAATTTGTTCTGATAAACTATTAACTGCAATAGGAAATTTTGAAAAGAAATTTGATGACATTAAATATAATTGTTTTCTTAAAATATTGGAAACTTGTTAAAAGGAAACTTATATTAGAATTTGTTTATTGTTCATGAAATGAATTTTGAATTAGGGAGTTTATTTTTCAAGTAGAAGTTATTGTAAGATTTTATGAGAATAAATTAGTTGATAAACAAATAGGTAATTATTTTGGGTTTTCATAAGTAAAGGACTTAGAGATTTTAAAGAATTATTTGATTAGGTAAAGGATAGTTATTAGGAATGATTTGGATGTAGTAAAATGAGTTAAATTATAATTTATGAGAAATAGTATGAATAGGGCGTTTCTTATTTAGTAGGGATATTTCAGTGGTCCGTAAAAAAAAAATCTAGAACGGATGTGAAGTATTGATTTTATAGAAATAAAGAAGGATGTAAAGTATTTGAAGATATTTGGCTGATTTTTGGGTTTTATGTGAAATAAAATATAATTTAGTACACCGCATTAGTTTGTTTCTCTCTCTTGCAAATGGACCCTCTTCCACAGATTTAAGATAGCAAGCTCCAAGTATATAAACACCATCAATATACCGCTCGCCATTTACCATCTAAACAATTTATATAGAGTACTTGGGGCGTTTTGCTACAAGCTCTTGGGAGCTTTGATGGTGATAAGTATTAGAGTATTTTATTCTATTTGCTATGCTAAAGAAGCTTCATAGGCTATCATTTTAGTTCGATTACCTACTTAAAATTCGTAGATATACAGGACACTGACGATCCAGAGCGAAATGACAGCTATCAAGGTTGGTTTCGTACTTCTCCTGCTTTTCACAATTGATACACTTTTTTTCTTCCACCTGGCATTCCTTATATGTGCTTTTGATCACAATCTGAACAAAGTATGATGTGATTGGACACCATTCCTCTAGACCATCTAATTTTGGCTGTTCGTTTGTTCACCAGAATGCTATGTATTATTGGATCTACTTCTGGAATAATATGGATTCTTTTTCTTTTATTTGCATATATTTTTAGTATCATAATATCAGATTCGTTAGCTTCCAAATTATTATGTTTCTTCATTCTTCATCACTATCTTCTTGACTCACTTCGTTATTTGGTTTTTTCAGTGCAGGTATTTCGACTTGATATTCATTCCCTAATTCTACAGTTATCTATTCTTCTAATGCCTCAATATCCTCTTTGTTATCACATCCAATCATAACAGCCCCATTGTTAGCCTGTTTAAACTTTGATATATTTGAATTATTCTCTTGGTATGTTCTTTAACTTATTTACTTGGGGAGTGTTCGATCCTTAGGGATGACCTAGTCTAGACAGATTTGCTTCCTGGTGTAAAATAGTACGAACGAGATGACCCCAAATATCTCAAAGTGTAAATTTAGTTTTTTAGATTGCGATCCTCTTAGAACTTTAACTACATTTTGAATGGCCAGCCGCTTCCAGTGATCCGTAAGTTGAGAGATTTTGATAACGTTACCTTGGAGTCTTGAACTCATCCTCATATTCCTTGTGTTATTAGTAAATTAGTAAATCATTGAGAATGCTTGGGTACATCAAGCTATCACATCACTAACTGTGCTCGACTAGCTCGACTGAGGACCCATCTTGAATATGCTTCATCTGCTCGAACCGTCACAGAAAATGTTTCTCAGGCATATTAACTTCATCAAGCTAGTGTCCTGATTTCAACCTCTTATCCATTTCATCCAGAATAAAGCTCCGAGACCTTCATCTGCCGTTCAAGATCGTCAACAACATTATTATACAGGGTGTTTGGTACATCGATAGGAATATTTCAATGGGTGATAGTTGGGGTCATTTGGAAGCCATATTTACCCTAATGAAAAATTTCGCCGTTTTTTAAAATGTCGCCAATCTTATAGATATTTTGAATCCATATACCTATTTTAAAACATAACTTGGGCTACATATTCTTGTATCAATCATTCGGTTTTTCTTTCTGTATTTTTCGAAAGAGTGCATATTAGGAAAAAAAATTGAGAAAGGGTAAAGTGTTTACTACCAAAAAAAACAATATGTTTTAGGAACAATTCAAAAATATCTAAAAATGCTGATATCTCAAAAACGACGAAACTTTGCATAAGGGTAAATGTGGTCAAACAGCTCCCAAATGACCCCAACTATCACTTATTGAAAATTTCCTATCGATGTACCAAACACCCTGTGTATACTTATTACGATTATCCCCACTTACTATTTTGTGTTGACCTATGTTCCCTGTAGAATCGCTCGTTAGTCCCACACATTTCATCAACCCAACTATACAAACTATCAACATGAACTTTATGGACACATTTGACGCATGTTCGTTTCCACTATAATGTCAATTATACAACTTTTTTTGAGAATTTATTCAACGATAATTTGTTGTATGAAATAACTTCGAGATATTTGGAAAGACACGATATACCATGCAGTATCGATTTCAATGAGCAAAAGTTAACAAGAAAGGATTAATTAATATACTCTTTGTAAAATAATACACTTTTGAAAAGTACCTAGTTGTTGTATAAAAAATCGGGCAACGACCATTATTATAAAAATAATAATATCACATTATTATAATAATGTATTACTCAGTTATGTAAATTTCAAATTACATGACGCGTTGGCGGGAACGTTTGAAGCGGCAAAGTCTCTATATTTTTCGGTCTAAGTCCTCTTCTGGAATGGCCTAATCCTGCTGCAATAATGTGTATTGCCGCATCCACAGTACGTTTTACGTCTTGTTCGCTTCCTAGACTGGGGTTCACCTCGACTAAGTCAAAAGCTCCCAGGCGTCCTGTCCGGTAAATTATTTCCATTAAATGAATGCCTTCCCGCAACGTCATACCACCTCTAACTATAACCAGAAATCTTTATATTTTACCTATAAAGTTGAAGTGAAATTTAGTTTACCTGAAGTTCCAGTACTTGGAGCTTCCAAAGAATCAAGAGCATCGATATCAAAACTAACGTGAATCGATTTATCTTTGTCAGGATCTATTCTGTTTAGAGCCATATCAATTACGGTGCTTATTCCATAGTTCTCAATGTCTTCCATACCGAAGGCGTTAATACCTGAAATTTTGTAACAGCAATAATAGTGATGCAATGAAATGTATAACGTCATCAAAATCTTACCCAATTTATCAATAACCAGTCGTTCATAAGAATCCACAGATCTAAGTCCGATATAGGCAACATTTCTCAATGAGATTATTGGTTTTTGCCAATCCATCCCTGGTAAATATGGCCAATAATCTGATAATTCTTTAGCCAGCAATGCTAAAGGCATTCCATGGACGTTACCGGTGCTTGAGGTTTTGTTTGTGTTCAAATCTGCATGAGCATCCACCCATAAGACGCATACATTTTCGTCTTTGGCTTTTATATGACCATCGACAGTACCAACTCCTAATGATAAGTTGTAATGAATATTGATAATCTACATATTGTTTTTACTCAAACTTCATGAACCTAAATTTTACTTACCAAGTGAATGGTCACCGCCTAGGGTAACGCATATTCTACCATCCCTTAAAATATTTTCTACAGATTTTGAAACTTCGTGATTACAAGTTGTGATATGCTCGTATTCTTTCATGTTTGGTATACTGTGGGTCTTCAAATCTTGAGGAATTTCATATGATACGTCTCCATAATCTTTTATATTCAATTTACCTTCTACAATAATAAGTTAGTCTGCTAAAAAATTAAATAATAGAATTGGAACTTACCTATTTCTTCAAGCCTTTCAATTAATCCCAATTCCCTGATAATACTAGGTCCATTTCCAACGCCCTTTTTAGCTTGCCCTTTATCAAAAGGAACACCTAAAATACCTACTTTAGAACCGTCATTGGTGTGAAGACACCTTTTGATAATTTGAAAGCTCGTTCTAAGGTTAACACGCATTTTTTTACGATTTCCTATAATTTAATAATGAGCAACAAGAAATTTATTTATTATCTTGAAAAACCCAAGTTTATCAAAAAAAAGGTCAGCGTGACTAGGTTCTTTTACCCAAAAGCAATATTATCAGAAGTAAATCCTCAATCCCGATTATGTTTGCTGACGTCAGTAATGAAATTTGTTTTTAATAAGAGAGTACTGATTGTGATGCGTGATTGATTTGAAAACAAACACAAATCGGGTAATAATGTATTTTCCAGCCAGAATACTTAATATAAACTTGATCTCGTCATACATGAAATGCAGTTTTTAGTTCTCATGCTTCATTGCAAAGATATTGGCAACTTTAATGTAGTTCCCCAATTATTTGACATTGAATTTATTATTAGCTCATCATGATAAGTTAAAAAGATCTTGAAAAAAAATCAAAAACTAACTTTTTAATTATGTTTGCTATCTATTTCATCAACAAATCCATTATGGCTTTAAAATTTTTCCATCCTTCGTCGTTTACATTGAACCAATCTTCTTTTTTCATCCTTTCAATATAAGCATTGATATTTGGAAATTCTTCTGGCCAATTGGGCAAAAAATATCCCCAGCTGGTTATTGTAACAGTGTTACTGAAATCAGCTATAGAAAGGACATCGCCTGCAATATATTTGGTGTTTTGGATTTCGATTTGTCTATCCATGGTTTGCAAGGCTTCTCTGAAATTTTCAATAGACGCTACAGTTGGTTTGATTTTTTTCAAAAATAGTGGCCTCTGTAATATGATTATTCGACAATAATGGATAATCTCTTTTAACGTGAAAAATAATATACTCACAGTGACTTGAAAAGCGTTAGCTGCAACAATGCTTGAATCCATATATTGTCTATGATCAATGATAGCTTTGCGTTTTATGTCATGTTTGGGATATAGTGGGTCGTTTTCCTTGCCATATTTTCCTACTAAATACGCATTGATGGCATGACTGTCTGCTAAATAGAATCCATCATCTTCTAATAGTGGGACGGTGCGTTGGGGATTTATCTGGAAGACATTTTTCGGAAAACCGGTAAATTTCTAAACAACATACAAATCCAACCAAACTTTTTAAATACCTAATTCAAAAAGTTTCGTTTTACTTATTTGTTTGATTAAATAACGCAATAAACTCAATTAATTTATTAATTGATTAAAATCATCTATTCTTATCCTATCCTCACCTTGACGAAATCTTCCTTTAAGTGATCTCCAGCATTGAAATCCACAATAACAATTTCCAATTCCAGCCCTAATTCTTTAGCGCACATAAGAACAGCCCCGAAAGGTGGGCTACCAAAAAAACCATACAATTTAGGAGCCATTCTGCTGAACTCTGATGTGTTATTGACGACTAACTGATATTAATGTAATATGTTCATCTATCTACTTATATTAGCCTCAACAAGTTATTTGTTATCTTAATTGACACTCCATCAAGAATAACATTTTATAATCAATTACGTGATTGCAATCGAAACGTGTGGAACTAATTACTCGGGGTAAACCCTGGAAATAATAGAACGAGAGAACCTACTAGCAATGCAATTGCCTTTATACTATTTGCGTAATGTATGCAAAATATAGTGTAAAATGGTTGAAGAAGTAAACAAACGAGAGATAATAAACAAAGGTAGTAGGCGACGACGTAGAACGGGGAACAAGGGGAGACGTTCACTACACACGGAGTCGGGTACCTATAGTACTAACCGATTTAATGGTAAATTTGGTCGTTTTATTTAAATAATAAATGAGAATAGTGAGCACCACAATTGGCGACGAGGATAAATGAAAAAGGATGATTATTATTAAAAACGTAAGTAGGTTAAGTAGGTATTAGGTACCTACCTACCACAAAATAAGTACTAAAAACTAGGAAAGAGTAACTAATATAAAGGCATTAAAACTTAAAAAAAGGGAAGCCAACCAACCAAAAAAAACAACTAATGGTTTAGTTAATAAATATACAGGGTGTCCCAAAAAGATACCGACAAACTTTAAGGGGTAGTAGAGGACATCAAAACAAGCATTTTTGTTTATATAAACATATGTCCGCAAATGAGCCATTTGGGCTGTAGAGTAAAAAAACTGTTTGGTATCTAGTTTTATTCTTCGCAATAATTAAACATTGTTTACTTATTAATTTTGCTTTAATAGCAAATAAATTATGGTTTACAATAATTGTTCAACTCGCGAACTCTTTGGAATATTCCGGGAATAGCTTCTACATGGGTACAACTCACCAATTCGTGCTATCAGATCTTCCTCATTACGAACATGTGTTTCGTAGACTAAACTTTTCAGTCAATGACCCGACGGTGTAATCTTTGCATTGAAGTAAATGGTCAACATTTTGAACAATTATTGTAAACCATAATTTATTTGATAATAAAGCAAAATTAATCAGTAAAGTGATTTAATTATTGCGAAGAATAAAAGTAGGTATCAAACAGTTTTTTTGCTCTACAGCCCAAATGGCTCATTTGCGGACATACGTTTATATAAACAAAAATGCTTATTTTGATGTCCCCTACTACCCCTTAAAGTTTGTCGGTATCTTTTTGGGACACCCTGTATATAATAATTCAAAGTACAAAATGTACAAAAGAAAGTCTAAGCAAAGGCTGAGGTAGGTAGCACTATTTTGTTGTGTTTTTCAACTTTAGTTTACTAGCTCAAACGGCTTCACTCTTCTAGTCTTTGAACTAGCTCAGAGTTGTCAAGGTGCTCCATCGCTTCCACATTCACATACCGATGTAGTCTATCTTCATGTAATTTTGCGTACTTTCTTATAGTCTCTGTTACAGTTTCAATATTCAGCTTCCGATATAGGTCACTATGTCGAAGGTACCAAAGTGTATTAACAATGTTTCTTAGTACTTTGTACTCTCTTCAGTACAACTCCATGCCCATACTGGTTTCAGTATTTGCCCATAAAGCAGTAACTTGTTATGTATGGTGTAATGTACTGCCTTAACGACACTCCGAACTATCTAATAGTCCTGTAGTTAGCGAATAACAGCCCAATGAGGCTTAAATGCGTGATCAAATTCACTATGAATGTTTAAAATTTTATGGAGACTTTTAAGTCCTCTCTAATATTCTTTATTTCATTGATTGTTGGTTTACTTATATAATTTTTATTATTTTCTTTTTGCGTTTGTTGAATATAGACGCAATTGTTTTTCAACTTTCTGTATGACATTCACTTTCTCGGTTTCTTTAAAATTGAGATTATCATCTTTCAAAACATTTATCACTTTATCCAACTGCTTCTCAATAAAATTGTATTTTCCACATTCACGTTATATTTGCTACTTGAACCTAAAATTATTTCTGCTGTTTTGGCAATTTTAGTTGTGTTAGAAATTTGATTTATTTTCAATAGTTCTGCAACTTCCTCGTCAGCTTTATTTGAGTTTTCATTATTGTTTTCGCTGTTTTCAAATAAACAGAAGAAATTTCATCGTCTTGCATACGGAAAGGCGTACAGTAATTAGAATCACTGATTCATATGTTATCGACTTTACGTCGCAGCAATTTGAGTCCAGTATTTTTTGTTGTAATTTCTTAGTTTTTAATAATAGTTATTTATGGTACTAGTGTGTTATGTTGAAAAAAGGTCACGCGAGAAAAATTTGTATAATTTCTCGAGTGACTTAAAAAACATAACACGCACGAGTAGCATACAATGTTTTATCCAACAACTGAGAAATCATAACACACGAGCAGCATATGAAAATTGAAAAAAACCAACAGGTATTTTTTGGGAATGAGTCTTTTTTAAAGCAGGATTCATAACATTTTTATTTTCTGACGTTTTGCATTGACGTTATAAGAGAGTGAGTTAAAATTAATAAAGTTAATAATGTTATTTGATAGTTTACCTGTCTAAACTGATACAAATAATGATTCTTATAACTAGCAGGTGTTGAATAATAGTTATTTATACACCAAGTGAGTTAAGTTAACCCTCTCGCTAAGGCTCGTGGGTTAAACTTTCTTCTCATGAATAAACATTTTAACTCACGTGATGTATACAAAAGTTTTTCCCATATTGATGGACAAAAATAAAGAAATAGGAATCAAATTATAAAAATAATTCAATTTGTAGTATATGAAAGCGTTAATTAATGAAAATGATGGTTGCTAGGGTATAACTAGTTGTTTGTCTGTATTCGTAGCAGATTTTCATACTGGCAAAGTGACTTAAAAACCGAGAGTGAGTTAAAAATATTTTAAATCACTCAGGTGATAAATGTTTACTTACCTTTGTTATTATGCGTTCAATAATAGCTATTTTCGGGTTCGAAAAAAGGACGGTTTAGACCGGGAGTTAGACGGATATGAGTATGCAAAATGTGAGGACCGACAAAAATGCTCAAAATCGTATTCCTGTGATCCTAAAGAATGGGAAAGTACATCTTGCCGGCAGCTGGAGTGGTCCCTAACTCTCCTGCCATTCCCCAATGCAAAGTTATATTGAAAATATCACAACTTCATGTTATTTCACAATAATTCCTATTGATTGTACCTAAGGCTTTCTTCTCACGCACTCAAAATAAATTACCTACCATTTGTTGGATATCTTTGCAATTCTGCTCCAAAATATACACAAGTAAAAGAAGACTGCGAGATGTACAGGGTCATCCAATGGCGACTGAACAGGGGCTTATTTTTGACCTTCCCTGTTACTGTAGTTTTGAAAAAATTTAAAATAGCCAATTGACATATTTTTTTCTGGAGAATTCAAAAATGGTACAAAAAAATCATTTGAACCAAAAACCAAAGAGTTACGCCATGGGTGAACTGTTTTTCAAATGAAACACCCTGTTTTTGTATGATTTTTGGAAAAGTCCCATTTTTTACGTCTATTCTGTTGAAAATATTTGATATTCCGCTGTTCTTATTTTATTTTAATGTTTTATGCTTAATAATTTTAGCTTTTCCTTTTCAATTTAATATATTCATAGGTGATAGAGGTATAATCACCTTTTATTCAAAGTCAAAATAAATTTAACATATTTTGTCGCCATCACATAAGGATAAAACATTGAAATTTTAAATATTTTCAAAGGAATAGACGTTAAAAATGCGAGATTTCCAGAAATTATATAATAAACAGGGTGTTCCATGTTCCATTTGAAAAACAGTTCATCCATGGCGTAACTCTTTGGTGTTTAGTTCAAATGATTTTTTGGTACCATTTTTGAATTCTCCAGAAAAAATATGCCAATTTTTCAAAACTACAGGAACGGAAAAGGTCAAAAATAAGCCCCTGTTCAGTCGTCTTAGATGACCTTGTACATCTCGCAGTACAGTTCATCAATCAACAAAATGACAACGGCTTAGCTATCACAAATTTCAATAATAAACTGTGCGATTGTTTTGAACCGTTCTAGAACCGTTCTTTTTTCGAACCCTAAAATAGCTTATGTCATTTTTAAACGTCAAAATGGGATAAAATAAATAAATATATGGTTTCTTCAAAAATAAAACCAACTCAAATTCTATAAAAGACTTTCTGTCACAAAATGAAACGACATGGAAATTTATTCCTCCAAGGTCTCCTCATTGGGGAGGGATTTGGGAATCGGCTGTTAAAAGTGCGAAATAACACATGAGGAGACTTATTAGTAACGCCAATTTCACTTACGAGGAATTTTCGATAGTACTTTGCCAGATTGAAGCTATACTCAACTCTAGACCGCTAAGCCCTATTTCAAACGACTCTGCAGATTTGAACTGCTTAACTCCTGGCCATTTCTTAATTGGCGCACCATTGGCATCTCATCCTGGAAAAGATATTACCAGTATTCCTGAAAACCGCCTTTTCGTGTATCAGTACATTTCGAGGATCCAGCAGACCTTCTGGAAGCGCTGGTCTGTCGAATACTTGAACCGCCTACAAAATAGGCTAAAATGGTTCTAAGAAAAGGAAAATTTAAAAGAAAATGACCTTGTTCTCCTGAAAGAGGATGATGTTCCCCCACTAAATTGGCCCCTAGCTCGTGTCTTAGAGCCTATTCCAGGTAAAGATGGAAAGGTTCGAGTGGCAAGATTTGGACTTCAACTGGAGAGTTCACTAGGCCAATAACAAAATTGTGCCTTCTCCCACATCAAACTTATTAAACTCATAGGCTTTCTCTATTTCTTAAATTCCCATTTTTGGTTGCTTTCGCTATTTCTTAACTTCCCATCTTTGTTGCTTCTTAATTTTTGTTGAAGCTGAAGCTTCAACGCGGGGGAGAATGTTAATGTTTAATGTCAATAATTCAAAGATAGGTAATAATAATTTAAAAAATATAGAAATAATTCAGATGCT